ACTTTAAGAAAGGTATTCTTTTAGGGCAAAGGTGAATATTACAAGTAATAATATCCTTTTAAAAATGCAAATGTCATAATTTAAAGCAAACAGAACACAGTACTAAGAAAGTTATTAATACACAGCTCACACAATAAAAAAGGTCAAAATAAAGTAACTTTCCAATACCCCGATATCCTGTTACATCTATGACAGTCAAAGGAAAGAGACTATCCCAAATAGTATACAAATTCAGAAGCCTTTATTTAAAAAATTCTTCCAACAATTATTTCACAATGGACAAGAATTTAAGCACATCTGTCATACTGCAGTATTTTAGAAACGAATGTTGAAGTCATTCTGCACACTTTTATCTAATACCTAAAAGTACCTCCTGTCCTAAGACTGGTTTTCAAAAATCTTAATATATTAACATTCTCCAAAATATGCACTATTGGCTAGAAGCAACTCTTTAACTTTTCAGAAGATCCCTTGCTTACCGTTTCTAACCTTTAAGTGCACACTTACTTTTAAGTAAGCCATGAGGGCCAGCATTCCTCAAAAAACCAAACTTTTCCTTAACTAATGGTAAATATATCTGAAGAAATTTCTCAGCTCTAATCTGCGAGAAATTTACTCAAATTTTTTTCTAAAACCAAGAAAGCTAATTTTGAAGAGCTGATGAATAAATATGTAGTTGTGCTAAAACAGACTTTGGCGTAGTTAATTCATACTCTTCCTTCTTAAAAATAAGGTGTAGTCTAACCTAATGTAGATAAGAAAGGCACCATACCAAGAAGTTTTAACACAAAGCTTCCAATCTGTACCTTTAGAAACTCCAAGGGCCATGGTTGGGACTGAGTATAAAATAAAGATTACAAATAGACATGGCCTCATAAACCAATGAATGTATTGCCCTCCAAGTTCAATTTATAAGCTAGAATTTATCAAGTATCTTTTGATGATCAATTTGAAGGACTTTTTACTCATATGGAAGAACTTCTTAAATGGAAAAAAGGTGATACTTAAAATCAACTGATGAACCCCAATAGTTATTTCATTTAAAATTTCCAGTCAGAATCAGGAGTCACCACATATGCATGAGGAAATTCTCACTGTAGTACGGGTTTTAATTTAAGAGAGGAAAAAAAGTCTATAAGCAAATATTCTTCCAAAGGGATATCCATATAAGACAATCCTAAAGCTGTTATAATAATAAATTAAAGCCAGATGTGACAATATAGAAAGGCAACCACTTTAACCAAACACAACCAAGTTACAAAACTGAACGCTTAAAAAACCATGGGAGGAATATATAGGTATAAAATAAATAACATTTCTGAAAGACTACTCAAGAATACAAAAAGTTACATTCTTCTGGAATGTAGGAATAAAGTCACAAAAGGAAATGCATTTTTTTCTTTTACCCTGTGTATGTACATTGTGTATTTTTCAAAAGTCATATGCACATGTTATTTTAGAACATCCAAAACTTTCGAAGTCTTTACAAAACCTGACTGGCCCCAAAGCATTCTAGGAAACAGACTACATAGGATTAGTGCATAACCCCTCCTGCCTCTAGCATGATCATATAATCAAAATTAAAGGCTCCTTGGTGTTGTCTTTGTCTCTGCACTCAAAAATGATGACTTTTTTTTTTTTTTAACTCAGGCCCTTGTGCTTGCCAAGCAAACACCTATTCTACTGAGTGATCTCCCGGCCCTCTGCCCTCAAAAATCAAAGGAAGAAAATGCTGAGAATTCAAAATTCAAATCATACTCTCACTGGTTACACAGTAACTTGGAAAATAACTTCAAACTTTCAGAGAACTGATTTTAAAAACTTAATTAATGGCCATTTTAGTCACCAACTGAAATATTTTATATCCAGGATTAGTTTTTTCTTTTTACAAAAGCCTAAAATGCAAAATTCGAATTGCATTAAACTCCAAAGCCCTGTTAGACAAGCACAGATTTCAAAAGAAGATGTAAACATATAATAATAAATTCTCATTGCTGGCTTAAGACAAGCAGACAGATCTTGGCAGAAGTCTTCACTAGAAAAGATTACCATGAATTTAAACTTAATACAACTATTTCAAAATCGGAATACAAGGTACCACTGGAAAAGCGAACAAAGGGCCTGAAAAGCATCTGAGTATTAGAGATTAAGAAAACCAGGAGGGGGTCAACTAGTGGCCACTTTGAGGACACACTCAGGTGGTGGATTCAAAATCCACCTTTGAAACACTGTGCTGGCCAAACAAAAACAGCGTAACTTACTCGGAGAGGAAGGCGCAAAGTATAACTTACTCGGAGAGAAGGCGCAAAGTATAACCTCTGCACAACACTGAGGCTCTTCCCAGGGCCTGATACAATTTTAGAAATTAACTTTGTAACCAAATGCTTGCTGAATGAATTAATTACTCGCAATACAATAACATAAAACTAAATACTCTCCAATCAGAGGCTACAACCATCAAAGAAGACGGATAAATTAAAAGAAGGAACTGTGGAAATGGACATCAAAGCTGTGCTGGCACTGGCTCGCACAGGTGTGATCCACTGGTGTATTTTTCTTTCAAAAGACATTTCTCGACATCAGATTAGGTGGTCAAAGAAGCCACAGTGACAGTATTTGTAGACCAACCCTACACAAACCCTACAAAACAATGTCTCTTTTCCTTTATAAGAGGAGAATGTTAAACATCTACCAGCACCACATTGGACCACACCATAGTCACAGTCTTCTATTCAAACACCACCACATAAACAAAAAGGTTAACTCATGTAACGTTGCTTTAAAATATACAAAGAAAAACTTAAGAAATGAGCATGAATTCAATATAGTAAACACATTAATTTACTATAAATCTAGTATCTTTTAGAAAGCAAATTTTAAAACTGATGACATAAACTCCATCAATAAAGGTGCAATGCATCACAAAACGGAAGTCACTGTGATACTCCAGACGTTGTCTTCAGTTTAAAACACTAATTACCTTAAAATATAAACACTAGAGGAGTTGAATTAATTTTGTCAAATTATGAAGGAAAATTAAATTAGAATGTATTTTTAGGTATAAAAGACACAGAAACTTGGCCAGCCAGCCAGCTCAACAGATTAAAGCGCCTCCTTAGGGAGACACAGGGACCAGGGTTCAATCCCTGGCGTGCCGTGCCAGCCCTGCTCTCAGAGAGCACTAAGACAGATACTGAGACTGGGTGTGGTGGTGCGTGCCTGCAATCCTAGCACTTGGGAGGTTGAAGACAGAAGGATCAGAGTCCATTCTGTGTAGTGAGACCCTATAGACCCTGTATTAAATACATTAAAAAATCAAAATAAAAAAACATAGAAACTTGAAATTTCTAAGGATTAAAAAACAAAAACTACTCACACATAAATGGGATGTATCTATTTCAGTCCAACAGTAAAATATTTACTCCAAAGAGCAAAACTGTATCTTGCTTAACTGTTCATGTCTGTGGATCTATTTCCAGGATTACATGTGAGACCACATAAAAAGCAGTCAACAAGTACTTATACTGAAAGGCCTTGTAAACCACACTCTCTATCACCCCATTATTACATTAAAATAATTAAGCAATGTTAAGAAATTTGTAATTTCAACTGGAATTTTAAGTTTTTCTTGCCAAAGAAGCAACAAAACAAGATACACACACACACACACACACACACACACACACACACACACCAGTGCAGGAAATAAGAGTGTTTATCCCACAAAGAAACACTTCTCAGGAAGCACACACACCTAGATTTCTCAAAGTTGTGCTCTGGAAACATTTGAGAGCTCACAAGACCCCTGAAAGGGCTGCACAAGGTCCAGCTAGCTTCATAATATGCAGATGCTACATGCCTTCCGCACACTTCTGATTTCACAAGTACACAGTACAGTTTTCTAGTTTCTGCTATAGGATATAAAAACTAAAACGGAAATGAAAAAAGCAGTATGGTAACTTCACTGTTTCTATAAAGCCAGCAACTGAAAGGATATGCAAAATGTAGAACAATGCTTCTAATTTTCACAGTTCTGGAAGTCATCTTACACAAAAAAATATTATCTATATTAAGCAAAGTGACTGCCATTATACTTAAAATGAGTATAACGTTTTAAAATTATGTCTATTAATTTCAATGAATGCTGAAAGATATAAATTTCATAAACAAAAGCTATTTGGGATCTTCACTACTTTGTAACAGTGATAGTTCTAAGAACAAAATGTTTTAGAACTGCTGCTCTTGTGTAAAAACTGCAGTTACTCTTGATTTTACCCATTTATAGGCTCTGTACAGAATAAGATGCGTACTTAGAGCAGGGTACCTCACAGGTAAAAACTAACAGCCTTTTTCAAGTTTGTTTTTTAAGGGAGAAAGCAGTAACCTAATCTCTATTTTCACAAAAATGGAGAATAAACATTTTCTATTTTGAAAAACAAAACTAAGGCCTTTAGACAAAGTTCTTACCACTCTAAAAGACAAATTTCTTTCTTGGACAAGGATGTAACAGGAAAGATTTGATTCAGCCACTGAACCAGAAAATTCGAAGCTCTTCTGCTATGCCACATTCCAGGATTATATTTGAAGTACACAATACAATTCTGATGGTCTATATAAAACTAGAAGGAAATCTGAATACAAAAAACTAATAGAAGTTAAATTTTTAAACAATAAAGATCATAAGAAAATCTACTGTAACGGCCGGCCAAATAGCTCAGCAGATTAAAGCACCTGCAAGCAGGCGCAGGGGCCAGGAGTTCAATCCTCAGGCCTGCCATGCCAGTCCCGCCCTGGGGCACAATGAGAGTATAACTGAGACTGGGCGCGGTGTGTGTGCCTGTAAGCCCAGCTCTTGGGAGGCTGTAAACAGGCAGATCACTATGAGTCCGATCTAGTAGTGAGACCCTGAACAGCCTGTAGATCCTTCCCTAAAATATAAAAGAAAAAAAAAAAAAGAAAAGAAAGAAAAAATCTACTTTAAAGCAAGGTCTCTTCTTAATCTAAACACTTGATACTTCTTTTAAGCACTCATTAGAAATAAGTCAATAAATGTTCTCATTTAATTACTAACATCAACATTTACCCAGGGAAAAAATAGGCTTTAAAATTACTTTGATAACAGCAGTTTAATTTAACTCTTAGACGAAAAACCACATAGGTTATTTGGGTAATGGCCTATAATTGCAACTTTTATATGTATGAATTCATTTGGATGTGATACAAGCCAAAACAGAAATTCAAAGACATTTCTTAAATTTTTCTTCCATGGAAAATGGGTTAAGGGACCTTGCACTAAAACAGAAAAATTATAAGACTATATCAACACATATATGGACCTGTGCAACAATTATTTAATTCTAAGAGGCATACTGCTCAGAAAAGGGTCATTTTGCTTATCAAAACAGTTCAGATAGCCACACTTTCAGTCAGATGTGCACCAGATCGCAAGTTCAAAATACCAGAGTTTTTTAAAACACTATGACAACTCATGTAGTCATCATTGCAAAAAGGCATTCAACATGAACAACCATTTGAGGAAACCGATATTCATCTCTTTTAATGCCAATGCTTTTCAAGATTTTGAAGCATTTTAAAATAAAACTTTTCATATAAGTATTACATATTTGTATATTCAATTTCACCCTTTCTTGGTGGCACAGAGCTATAATAACGGACCAGTGTCAGAAGATGATGTAACACAATGATGTCCTTTCAGCTGAGCTGACTGTCCCTATACTGAGAGTGAATGTGGATGGTGTATGTTCTTCACGGTCTTTTCAGTCTCCTTTCCAAGTCATCAGTTCTCGGCTACAAATATGCTATGGGGCTAAGAAACTCAATAATCAAAATTATTTAAATTTTACATAAAAACAAACGTGTATTCCAACACAGGCTTCACGACGTATGGGTTGCTAGAAGGCATCTTTAAAAAAATCCAAGTTTCTTAGCTGTGTCTGTACCGATGAGACTGCCAGATTATCTCTGGATGAATGAGGCTTTACTATATATAAATAAACAAGTTCATTGGAATATTAACTAAAAGATGCAACTAAACTTAGGATCACTGCCTTTTTTAAACAAAATATTCCATAAACTTAAGGTAACACTGGCTTCCAGTTTTTTCCCCAAAAGACAAACATAAACAAATGTTCTATGGATAATATCAGTTTGTCCAGAAAAGGGGGGAGGGGGGAAACACAAAAACAGGTGCAATCGTGTCACAGTTAATACATGTCTGCTTCCAATACATTCAATGACAAAATTTTAAAATCAATAGTTAAAATAGGCCTTTTGCAGTCTGACAGTTCAAGATCTTTTAAAAAATTTGTAAATACACATACATGCAAATTTTTCATATATACAAATTTCACAAAATTAACAAGTTGCAAAGAAATTAGAAGTATTACGGTGAATGTGACAAGCTACATTTAAATGCTTTTACCACGGACATATTCCTGAATATAGCAGTCCTAGTAGTTTTAATAAATTTTCTACATGGCCTTTTTATAAAAAGTTAGTCAGTAGAAGTCTTTAAGAATTCAAGATGTTCTCAATTCACTACTCATATTTAAGGCCACTTTGGTAAAGGCATTACAGCAAGAACACAAAACAATAGCATATTTTCTAATATTTATTTTTTTCCACCTGCAAACTGTAGCAAAACATGATCAGCTTTATTACGCAGACAGGTATCCCTCTACATTTTAAAAGAATTTAGGCATGTATAAATAGAAGAGCTCTTTAGAAAGAAAAAATTCAAGAACAAATAAAACCTTCCAATTTCGCCTTTGTAACTTTCCAGTAGTAATGGTTAAAATGATTTTAGTTCATTCATTCCAAGATATATGACAGCACCTTAAAAGTGGCTGATCTATCTCCCCAGTAACATTTTCACATAACAATGTGTTAAAGTTACAAATACTGATATGCACAAATAGCTAATTTCTAAGAAAAATATGTACAGTACTGCAGCATAATGAATGTGGTGTCTGCAATAACTTAGTATTAGCCAATTTTTAATACACATGATACCACTATCTTTTTCTGCCAATTCACAGGTTAAAAGTTGTTATCAGAGCCCTCTGTTTTGCACTTATTACCTGATGTTTAACACACAATGCAGGCTTTTTAAAGACTTCTCTTGTGTTTAAAGCTAAGATCAGTGAAACAAGACAAGAGTGCAAGAGGCGGAGCGATGTAATATGACCACATAAAAGTTCATTCCAGTAAAGTGTCTATATAAGGCTATAAGAAAGGGTTGGTTGATGAGCTTCCTGTTGGAAATTGTCCTGTTGGTGCACCAGTCTACAGAAAAATACAAGACAAAATAGACAAATAAAAGTGGTGTGTACACAAAATAAGCATTGAACTGTGCTTAATTTAATCATATTTAAACTTTACTCAGATTGAGAATTGTTTTATTAGCATTGACAACATTCATCACTGTTAATAGAAACAGAACTATACATGTCAGGGAGTATGCTACTATCAGCCATAACTTCACACACCTATTCTAACAGCTTCTAGGGACTTGGTCCTTTTAAAAGAATAACCTGTGATTCTTACGAGTACAAACAGGACTCTAAGACTTCTTTTAACACTAATTCACTAACCCACTGCCTCTATTAAAACGGTATTTCGAGAAAATGCATGTACATTTCTTTTTACAAAATAGCTTATTCACTGTCAGTGTACTGATTTACAACTATTTGTAAAACTCAGATAAGATGTCTCAATTAGTATTATCTTCAGAACACCATACAGCACGCATCCTGTGTTCTCCAGTTGGAAAATGAGATGCAAAAATTTATAAAATGCTTAAAACTGAATTGCACTTACCATAAAAGGATTACTAGATACTCCAGCAGCCGCAACTTGACCAAAAGGGGTCACCACTGGCTTTGTTTGTCCAAATGCTGCAAAACCTGCACCTTGTTAAAACAAATACCAATTACAATCTCTTATCTTCAAGACGTAATCTGATAGTTCCTGTGCTTCCAAGAAATTCTAGCCAGAGCACAAATAAACTATTTCTTTTTCTTCTTGTATTTTAGGGAAGGGTCTACAGGGTGTTCAGGGTCTCACTACTAGATCGGACTTGTAGTGATCCGCCTGTTTACAGCCTCCCAAGAGCTGGGATTACAGGTGAGTGCCACCACACCCAGTCTCAACTGCAGTCCCAACAAACCCTGGGGGCGGGGCCAGCACAGCAGGCCCAGGGATTTAACCACCCCCCCACCCCCGCCAATGCCTGCAGGTGCTTTAATCTGCTGAGCTATTTGGCCGGCCCACAAATAAAACTATTAAGGTTGTTAGGGCTCATGAACTCTCATATGACAGTGATAAGCATCTAAGGTTATGTTTTACAAGAGCTTCAGAGATCTGAGATATCAAGGCCAACTTCTCTCAACTGTGTAAATTATAGGCATTCAAAGGATTTAATGAACTGATGTGCTTGTGAATATTTGTGAAAAGCTGTATGGACAACAGAATGCTTTCAATGAAAATATCACAAAATTTCCTATAAATATTTTATCATTTATGGTTCTTCCATGGACCACATTTCCAAATTTTTATCTAACCATTCAGATAAAAAAACACATATTTGCAATTCCAGAATAATCTTCAAATCCACAGATTTCAAATTTTAGCAAATAAGAAATGTGCAAAAAAAAAAGGGGGGGGGTTAAATTTTCACACTTCTTCTAAAAACAAGAAAACTCCCAACTAAAGTACAATCTATTTTTAAGATTAACTTTATGGGGGGAGGGGGGGTTAACAAGGATTGAACTCAGGACCTTGTGCATGCCAGGCAGGCATTTAGGCCACTGAGCTATATCACTGGCCTGAAATTAATGTATTTTTAAGATACATACAAATCCTTATCTAAAAAAGCACACGAGAGGGCGGGAAAGGGACTAGCACCAGCTTTGGCAAGCACAAGGACCAGGGTTTGATTTGGTCCCAGATGCCATGCCTGCATTGGCCCGGGGGCACACTGAGCTGGAGTCTGGGCATGGTGGCACACACTTGTAATCCAAGCGCTGGGGAGGCTGAAGACAGAAGGATCAATACATGCCTGAGCTGGGTAGTGAGACCCTGTACCAAATACATACATCATAAAAAAAAAAAAAAAAAAAAGGAAACATTTTTGTAATAGAAAGGGACTGGGGAGATAGCTCAGCAGTCTTAGTGCCTGCCTGTAATAGAAAAAATAGAAAATACTCTAAAGGTCTATAAAGTTTCCTTTTCAATCAAGGAGCAAAATGGAGCATAATGAATTAGATACTACTGGTTCTGAAAAACATAAAATAAAACATTTTCTGAGACCAAAACCACTAATGGCTTCAATTTTTATATGGTAAACAGCCAGTGCATGACTCTACATAGATATTCTTAGATAAGGCATTGTCTCAAGCACTTAACATTATGGTTGTAAAAGAGAATTGAAGTGGACTGCAGCTAGCCAAGTATTAAACTTTACCATTGGGCTGTTGAGAAAAAGCTGTCTGTTGAGGGAAAGCTGCTTGGGCCGGGAAGGCAGGCTGCTGGAAACTGCCACTAAAGCTGGTGGGAAGACTATAGGGAGCAGGGGTCCCAAACCCTGCAGGCATGCTCATGGATGCCGTGCCAAAGGTTGCCGCTGAAAAAGAAAGAAGGGCATATCACTTACACTTGCAACAGTAGTGTTTCTAATACTTAACATTGCAGAGTAACACTTACCTAGAAAAATGTTAAGAAACACACTAAAGACATTTGAAATCCCAAAATTCTAACAAAGTAATGGTGAGTTTTAGCATTATAAACTTCATCATAACCTACAAAATTCTATTGTTCTGAACCCCAAAGACCAAAATGAAATTACTAAAGCAGTCATATGAAAGCTAAAATCTCAAATTATAGTGTATACAGTAGATGTCTTTGAAAGCTTCTCATAAGGTAATTCACATGTAAACTAGTATACATTTGTTCTGCTATACTTTTATTTTCCAAAGTGTCTGCCAGTGCTCGCTTCGGCAGCACATATGCTGAAGTATTTGCTGTAAGATAATACGAGCATTCCTGGAAAAAAAATTTAACTCTGCAAAACAGATCACTAAAAAAACAAAGGTATTTATGGGATACAGTCAAGAGGCAGACCTCTCAAAACGATGTGGTTTTGTAACTAAAGTTAAAAACCAAAGTCAAAATAATCCAGTTACTCATCACTTATAAGCCAATTCCAATTACAGAAACACATGCAGTAGCAGAACACTGTGCTACTGCTGGTAAATATTTAATACAGCACCTTCCAGCTATATGTTCAGGGAAAGGACTCAGTGAAGTAAAAGCTTACTTTAAATAATCTCTAGCAATTACATAATACAATGGTGTTAGCATCTTATAAAAAAAAAAAATCATTTACCAAATTTCCTGATCTTAAAAGTTTACCAGCTCAGTCACTGATTTATGATACAAAATGCTCGTACCAAATAAAAATGTTCCTTAAAATGTTTCAACTTCTACAGAACTGAAAACAAGTTACAGACACTGCCGAAAGAAATGTCCATAGTCCTAATGTCACCACAATGCAACTTTACTCAAACTAACTGGACTATTAAACTTGTAAATACTGCTTTTCCATCACTGACAAGATAAAAGGAAACACAGCCCACTGGGAAGCAAGTGAAAGAATAGTAAGCACATTGCAGGGAAACGGGAGGGCTTCATAACAGACAATAATGCACTGACATGACTGACAAGTCACTGTTTAAAAAAGCACTAAAAAGCAAAACTTGGTTACACTTAAGCAAAATCAAACTCCATGGGATAATGTGATAAAATGGTTTGGTATATCACTTTAAGTACTATGAATTCAAACTTAAGGAAAAGAACCAAAACAGCCATTAACACTATATTGTGACCATGGAGGTAAGCAATAATGCTTTTTAGCAATAAAACATGAATCACTACAAAGATTTTCATGTAACCGAATACAATGTAATCTTGATGCCACACATCCATGCCCACTCCATTTTAAAACATGGTAAAACTTAATTAAACATGCAAGGATCCAGAAACGTAGCAGAAGCTTCCACAAGCAGGTAGACAAATTGCTACACAAATCTAGAGGTTAGTTATGGCCACCTACCAAAATGAGCGTGAGGAAACACTTGAGAATGCATTGCTCCAGAAAGGCCTTATGGAAAGCCATAAAAAGACCAATGTCAATTAAGTCACAGACAACTATTATTAAAATAAAAGTAAACGTCTGATTGAAGAATTTTAAAATTAGACAGTACTGCTGCCAGCTGGGTAGCATAAAAATATATTATGAAAACACATTCACAAAATGACTTTTCATTTCAACTATATTCATGACATTACCGTACTATAATACCAAATAAAAAAAAAAAACATTAGTGAAATCCATTTTCTAAAAATAAGTCCTTTTCATGTGAAGACATAACTGTATACATAAAAAAGGCATCATCGGGGCCTGGGAGATGGCTCAGGGGAATAAGTGCTTCCCTGGCAAGCGCAAGGGCCTGAGTTCAATCCCCGGTTCTGCCAAAAATAAAAATAAAAATTAAAAAGGCATCATGAGCTACCCCCAAAATATTACACTATTTACGAATTCAAGTCTTGGAGACAGCATCCAAGCAATGCCAGTTAGATTTATTTACCACTAAGTACTAAAAATACTTAAAGGATGATAAGGTTCACTATCATGAGTGGGACATTATTTATATAGTTTTTTACACACTGTCAGCTTAAAACATAAGGGTAAAAAGAGGGGGAAAGAAAGAAAAAAAAAACACTGTACCTGGAATACCCCTTACCTGGCATGTGTGAGGACAGAAGTTACGTGTAAGTATACACAACTAACAGAAGACAAACTAAGACTGGTAAGTAAATTTTCTGTTAATTGTAATGCTCTGGGGTGGGTGGATTCTAAAATATGTTTCTATGTATTTTCAATTACAATACTTTTCAGATTAGCATAAATCTGAGGAAATGGTAATCAAGAGAAGAGGTGCTTCTTCTGAGTCTTGCTTCAAGCATTTTCTAGCTGCATGATGTTATTTAACAGCTGCAAACCTGAATTTCCGTATGTGCCCAGAGAAGGAGGGATGAGAGGATGGAGACAGTTTAAGACCTCACACTGCACCAAAGCCACTATGAAGACTAAATGTGTAACAGTGAAATAAGTACTGGAAGTAAATATTAAAAATTTTATTTTTTCTTGATAATTTATAAAGACTTTTTCACATGGTATTCTGAACTCAACAAAAAGTTAATGGTTCTGTGATAAATCAGTTTGGTCATTGTATATTTACCTCCTCTACACTAAAGGCTCTGAGAAGTCCTACACTTAGTAATAATAGCTGTGGTTATCTCAGCATTTCTTATTTGTATTTAGGCACAAAATCCCTTTCCATAGATATGGACAGGAACATTTCAAGCAACAGTAATTGTTAAACAATATTAACCACTATATTAACTTCAGCACAAAAATGCCACCATCACCAATTTCCACAGCCAAAAGTTCTGGGGTCCCAAGAGTTAATTTGTCCATTAAAAGTACAGAATTCAAAGTTTCTTATATAATCAGAATTGTGCAGTTATTATCACAATCTAATTTAGGTTACCTTCATCCTTTCTTAAAGAAATTCCACACCTGTCAGCTGCCTCTCCCCATGATGACCACTATTACTACCAACCCCTGGCAACCACTAACCCAATTTTCTGTCTACAGACTTTTTTTCTTTTTTCTTTTTTTTTTTTTTTTTTTTGCTCCGAATGCCTTCAGGGCAGGTTTGGCAGGCTTGAATTGTGGGCATCAAACCACAGCAACCTGAGCCTGACTGCTTTGTTGAAGCAGCCACTTATATAAAGAACTGAGCTAAGGGGCAGGCCCCCTGTCTACAGACTTTTATGGAGGCTGTTTGTAATTTGCTTGTTTTACTCGGGATAATTTTCGGCAATCATCCATATTAGATCGTACATATATATTTCATTACTTTTCAACAAACAATATTCCTCTGTATGCCCATTCAACATCTTGTTTCACCCTTTGTAGTATATGGGTTGCTTCCTCTTTTGGCTAGTATGAATCATGAAACTGTGAACATCTGTGTATGAGTTTTTTGCAGATTTGTTTTGATTCTTCTTGGATATATTTCTAATACTAGAAATGCTAAGATAACTTTGTTAACCCTTTTAAGAAATGGTCATCAAAGTGTTTTCTAAAGACATTTCACCATTTTACATTCCCACAAGCAATCTAATCACTTTACTTCATAATTAATGTTTATTACCATCTGTACACTGCAGTCATTCTAGTAGATATAAAGTGACATTACACAGTAGCTTGGATTTACAATACCCTACTGACTGATGATGTCTTTCTTTTTCATGCTCACAGGTCATTTCTATAGCATCTTACAGAAACGTCCATTCAAATCTTTTGCCCATTTTTAAATTTGCGTATTAATTTTATTGTTGAGTTGTAATGAACTGTTTAAATATTCTGAACACAAGTTCCTTGTTTTTCTATGAATAAAAATATGTCCTACACAGTCCAATCTAATTTTCTTCTTAGGTTTTTTCTTTTTCTCAACTGTAATTCTTTTGCATTAATCTTCATTTCCAGAGTCTACTAAGACAGGGGAAATGGGTCTACTGAATATTTAGGTATAAACAAGGAATAATATACAATGCTGATATATTTATGTTTCAGAAATTGAAAATCAAGCTGGAATGGAAAACAGCATTAGCTTAGAAACAGCCTAAAAGTTAATGTCAAGTTAGCTATTTCTTAACATAGAAGCCCATTTAAGCAAATTCATTATCATTTTGCAAATGTATTTGTATCTACTAGGTAAAAAAATACAATGTGACATGTAGGTGCTATTTAAGCAATGTTTCAGCTCTACAGTTCTACAAGTTATTTTCTGAAAAAAAAAATTCTCTAAAACCATTTGCTTTTTTTTTTTTTTTTTTTGGCAGAACTGGTGATTGAATTTAGGCCCTTGTGCTTGCCAGGGAAGCACTTATTCCACTGAGCCATCTCCCCAGCCCCCATTTGCTCATTTTTAAAAATAAGACTGGTGATAATTGGTGATAATTCACAATTCTTTCATTGGTAAAAGGAAAATTATCCATAAGAGAAATTTCCTAATTATTCAACTTAATTAATTTAAATTCAATGACTGGAAAAATAATGCCAAATATCAATGAATCTTAAAATTGCAAATGCCTTAAGTCATATAGATTAATCCTCTAAACAAAGTTCCTATATGTTAAAGAAATGTAAATTCTCAGTATTTTATACATTAAAAAAATTAAAATGTGTACTTTAAGAATGAAATGTACCAGTAGAACTTTTAAAATTTCACAGAATTATGATGCCAGGTCCTCTTGCCAAAGGTACCTCAAAATGTGGTAATACTCATTACCACATTTGGTAATTTGTGGTAATGAGTATTAACTCATTTAAAGGTAACAAGAAATAATTCCTAAATATTAATTTTTCTGTGGTAAAGCATTGGAAATCCCTAACCATTTGTCAAAATACTATTTACATATCAGCTTCAATAGAAACATATAATCTATTTTAATCAATACAATAATAACCTAATAAAGGTGAGTACTGTGATAAATTCAAATTGGCTTAGAATATTAAAAACAGTTTACCTAAAATACATGTATCATCATATTTACCTAATATAACTTTGCTAATATTAAAATTTATATACTTATTTATTCTGTACATTTTGTATTTTTCAATCCTGTGTAGAATCTTATCTTATAAAATTTTCATACTGTACATAAAAGGAAAAAAAATCCCTTAATCTAATGACAGAACCAACTCAGGTATAGTCACGAGAAGAAAATACCAAGTATGGTTTTTCCCAAGTACATAATATACTATAAAAACACAGAGGGTGGTATGCACCATTTCATTTTAAACCAGTCCTGCCAGGTGGAGAATATTAGTCACATTCTATAGGTAAGGACAGCAGAAGAGCTCCAAGTCAAGGTACAATGGGAGTTTCCATTACTCAGTTGTTAAGTGGGGTTAGGATATGAACAATTCTTCAACAACATGTTGCAAATAACTGTAACACAACAAATACTAGGACATTTTGCATCATCCTTAACCTCTTTGATTAACAAAATACAAAAAGCTTTCTAAACATCACCCACCAAGTAAATACTAAGTCAGGACTTGTACACAAATGTGCCTGGCTATTCATAAAATATAGCCATTTACTTTTTTAAGCCTCAGTTTCAGTGACTTTCACACAGTAACTGAGACAATTATTTGATGCATGGAGTTCTGCTGCATCATGAGACATTTCATGAATTCATTCTGTTAAGTCAAAATAATATGCCAGGGTGGGCCAGTCAAATAGCTCAGTGGATTAAAGTGCCTGCAAACAGGAACAGGGGCTGGGGATTTAATCCCTGAGCCTGCCATGCTGGCCCCGGCCCCGCCCCTGGGGCACGCTGAGCAGGTAATTGAGACTGGGTATGGTGGCACCCGCCTGCAATCCCAGCTCTTGGGAGGCTGTAAATAGGCAGATCACTACAAGTCCAATGTAGTAGTGAGACCCTGAACACCCTGTAGCCCTTCCCTAAAAATACAGAGAAAAAGGGGCCGGGGAGATGGCTCAATAGAAGAAGCGCTTCCCTGGCAAGCACAAGCGCCTGAATTCAATCCCCAGTTCCGGGGAAAAAAAAAAAACAGAAAAAAGCAAAAACAGCCAGGGGCTGGTGAGACAGCTCAACAGACTAAGGTGCCTGCTTAGGAAAGCTTAGGCAAGCGCAGGGACCATGGTTTGATCTCCAGCACCACATGCCATGCCAGCCCTGCCTGCAAAATGGGTTGAGCTGGCCACAAAAAATATAATAATAATAATAAGCCCAAAACCAGAAACATCACATACACCTCACTCATAAAAAATACAAACAGAAACTTAAATCAATTGTTAAACAAGCAGAAGCACAAAATTTAAAATATTCATGATTAAGTAATAGTACTTAAATTAATATTTAAAAAATTAAATTTGATATGCTATTCAAATACTGATTGAATAGCTATCATGTTAGATAACTGTGACTGAAGACATTTATATAAAGACATTGAAACTTCTAATCTTGCCAATAACAAAGAGATTTACTAATATAGTAATTACTAATTGTGTGCTGGGGGCTTACTGGGAATTGAACTCATGACCTTGGGCTTGCTAGGCAGGTGCTTATTGCACTCAACTATCTCTGCAGTCCAATAATTACTAATTCTTAATGACTTCATTTGTTAGCAGTACTTCCTCTTCTTCAGATTTTGTGTCAATATTTGCTACCAATGAGGGTTAAAGTTTTGGTTCTATAAGTACAGCACATATACACAAAAATAGCTGTAAAAAGTATAGATTTAGCGGGGCTTGGTCACACACACTCCTGTAAAATCGAGAGGCTGAGCAAGACTGGGCTACACAACAAATTCAAGACCAGCCTGGACTAACTAAACTGTCTTAAAAACGAATGGGGGACTGGGCAAATAGCTCAGCAGACTAAGTGCCTGCCTGACAAGCACAAGGACCCAGGTTCAATCCCCAGTACCACATGACATACTAGCTCCAGAATACTGGGTGTGCCGTGATGGCACCAAAACTGGGCCTGGTGATACATGACTGTAATCCCAGTGCTGGGGAGGCTGAGACGGGAGGATCACTGGAAGAGTCTGAGCTGAGTAGTGAGACCCTGTACCACATACATAAAGATTAAAATAAAAAACAAATGGGGGTGGGAGCACTAGATTTAATGGTTATCCTAGTCATACTACCCACACTTACAGACATCCTAAAATAATGGCGAAGAGCTCTAGTGTTTTGCATAATAAGATAAAACTCTAAGAAGCACAGAATGAGAGATATAACTGGCTTGGTATGAATTAAACAGGAAAACAGGATGTGTGTTTGTGTGTAGGGGGGTGAATTAACAGGACAAAATTCATCAAAGAAAATATTCAAATATTTTACCAAAACTGAACCAGGCTCCCACAATTTCAAATACGTGAACACTGTATTAATTATTGAAAATGTGCTAGTAATCAGTTGTGAAACTGTCTCATTGCTATTTGTTTCTCAATAAAATTATTAAAAAAAATATGTGAACACCCTGGAAGAGATGCACTGGAGTAAGACTTAATTAGAATTCATGTAACAAAGTCCATTATCTCATGCAGTCTCCTAGGGGAAAAAACATACTGTTGTAGTAAGAATGAATGATTTAAAGCTACACAGTGTAGCAAATACCTATAATTCTACCACTTGGGAGACTAAGATAGGAGAAAGGCTGGGGCTGGGAAGATAGCTCAGCCATCTAAGTGCTTGCCTGGCAAGCACAAGGACTGAGATTCAAGCCCTGGTACACCATGCATGCCAAAACCAGGCTTGGTGGTGGTGTAATTCCAGCACTAAGGAGGCTGAGACAGGAGGATCACTACAGGTCAAGCTGTGTAGTGAGATCTTGTACCAAATAAATTTTTTTTAAAAAAAAACTGAAAAACAAACTAAAAAAGAAGATAGGAGAAAGGTTCAAAGTTCAAAGCCAACCTATGCTATAAGGTTCCAGGGAAGAAAAAGACGCATGACTTGCAGCCAATAATTCTGGAACCAGGCCACAAACTAAGTCAAAATGTCTGCATTCAAGCTATTCCTTGCTATAAATTAGCTATGCGAGTCCAAGAAAGAATCATCTCCGTATCTGGGATCCCTTACCTGAAAAATAAAAGCTCTGACCAGAAGAATGGACACTAGATAATTTCTCTTAAGATCTTCATCAACTGTTCAATTCCAAAACTTTATAAACTTTCAACTAGCATTCGTCATTATGGGCAAACCAGTCTATCCATTTTTGATTCACTCCAGTAAAAAAGGCTTGATTTTCTTCTGGTGATGTTTATAATGCTGAGTATCTCAAAATCTGTCCTTTATCCTTACCTGTTGCTCCTCTGGCATTGGTCTGAAATGGATTTGTTGAAGATGCCACAGAAGGACCCCCAGCAGCAACAAATGGGTTTGTGGAAGGCGTTGCTTTAAAAAACGAGAAAATATACTATAAAACCCTAATGCATTTTGTATTCAAGACTTAAAATATTTGTTCACGATATTTATGGGATCAGAAAGCATAACCATTCAGGTAATAATGTACTGCAGTAACTTACTATCCAAAAGACTACATATCCTCTAATCTATTAAAGAAAATGCTACCACTATTATAGCTTTTTTCCCTACAAAAACCAACGCCTGTGTGGACAGGTAAGCTACGTGTACAAGCAGCACATACCTCCAAATGGAGCAGGCACACTTGAAGAAGCAGGCTGAGTCTGTGCCGAAGCACCCACTGGCACTGTTCCAAAAACACTGCTGAAAGTAAGTATATTATCTTTTTTTATTTTCATTTTATTTTTAAGAGAATAAAAAATAGTAAAGAAAAAATTAGAATACAGAATTTTCCTAAATAAAATTATAGGCATTCAACAATAGTTGTTATATTGCACATTGTTGTCTTCACATTTTTTTTTTTTTGTGGAACCGGGGATTGAACTCAGATCCTGCATTTGCCAGTCAAGCGCTTATCCTACTGAGCCATCTCCCTGGTCCCCAGTTACATTAACTGTTTTAAAAAGAGTATATATATCTATTTTTAAACAGTAATCTGCTCTGTCGGGGAGATAACTCAGCAGGATAAGCACCTGCCTGACAAGAGGAAGGTTCTGAGTTCAATCCCCAGTATCAAAAAAAAAAAAAAAAATCTGCCAACCAGATAGCTACAACACGTGAAAACACTAGACTTACCATGCATTGTAACAGTTCTCAGATTACATGTTAAAAGTTATAGACCTGATAAGAACTTATTTTATGTGCTGTATCTGTCAGTCTGTATCACAAAGAAATTAAAGTCAAGAACTTTTTAAAAATATTCTTCATATTTAAATACAGCCATTAAATGTCATATACTGTCGTTAGTACTATAAAAAAACTAGAGCTTGAAAACAAAAAATCTTAAGACTAGCACTGTTTATTTCTGCAAATCCCTTTAATGGCTGATTTAACAAGATCAATATGGTGCGAGTTGTTTTGATTGAAGTATATGAAGAACAAACAGTCTTAGGTGCAGCTACAAAAGATTTCTTTTATGCAATTATATGTACAGCTATAGTACAAAGTGTTTCTGTTTATAAACACTACGAGGACAGTGAAAGATGGAATTTAAAAAAAAAGTATTCTAAAATAGAAGGTATATTTAAAAATAAAAACTTGTGAAAAAGATGGAGTTAGCGATGGGTTTTGGTGCAACACAGAACTTTAGTCTTCGCAACTGAAAACTGTACCTTCAAAGCCCATAATCTGACTACTACATGGATTATCTGCTCAGTATAATATGTGTATACCTGTCCATTTAAAGATGCGCACAAATGCTTTTAATTACATTTTATCATTCAAAGGTGATAGTAATGAAATTTCTAACACAAGACTTATTCAACTATTATATTTTAACTAGCAAATTAAACTCAATTTGCTCAGATTTAAAAACTACTCAATTATTTTTAAATCACATCCCCCAAAGAGTTATGTAACTATGTTATTCAAAGTTGAACAAAATACAGAGCAAGAACACCAAGACAAAGTACCTGCTAGCATTACTGGTGGAAGTATACGCATTACTGGAGGTGGCTGCAGAGCTGAACACACTGTCCAGTTCAGCCAGGGCTGCATACTTGTCTGAAGATGCACCTGACTGAGTGGGAACTGAAACCACAGAACCAACAGGAGCTTTACCTGTGGCCCCAAAACCACTCCCTTGATCACCACCTGGAAATAAATCAAACCAAAAAGTATATATAAACTGTCTTAGAGCTAAAAAACAAAAGATTAAATAGAATTCTGGTCTTTACTAAATAAACAATACTGTACAAGATTAGTTTCCATATAAATCACTATGGTGAAAACAGAATTACTATTTCTGTAACAAAAATCTAAGAGTCTGTCTGGAATAACAGTCATAATATGTCTAGACTAAAAATAAAGAAGAAATTCTTGAATCCAAGACAAGTGAATTTCACTGAAGTAAATATAAAATGGTGAACCAAATGTAAACAACACACTAGTATTATCATTTTCCTAGAGTTTTTCATTAAAATTTGAGACAATTTTAACAGAACACACTTAGTGCATGTCAGGCACTGCTGCAGTATCATACATACAACAATACACAAGACACAAAATACAACTCCACAAATTCTGTGCTATTATCATTGTCATTTTTGAGATAAGAAAAACAGGCTCAGAGATCAGAATACAGAATCCAGTCTACCACTATTAGATCCTTATTATGCATTTTTAGAGGCAAGATACTGACTTTATGTAACTATAGTGTAAAGACAATGGGTTTAAATACCAAAGAACTAATAGAAAACAGTTCAAGAGACAGCAAGACAGCTCTGCAGAATAAGTGCCTGCTTAGACACAAACACAGGGACCAGGGTTCAATTCCTAGCACCACATGTTGCCCTGGTCCTGCCCCTGGACACAGTGAGCCTGCCAGAGTCAGGGTGTAGTGACACACCCCTGTAATCCCAGCTCTGGGGAAGCTGAAACAGGAGAATCACTATAAGTCCAAGCTGCATACTAAGACCCTGTACCAAATACACTTTAAAAAAAAGAAAAAGAAAACAAAAAGTACAAACTTGACTACGTTACAGAAATCACCAACTGATCTTTCCATTAAGCTCTTCAATGGCATCTACTCATACTTATGGCCATAGAATAAAGAATGCTAAGAAAAAACTTTTTTCAATTATTTGTTTAAAAGTAGAAATTCAGGCCATGCATGGTGGCACACGTCCGTAATCCCAGCACTAGAGGAGCTGAGGCACGAATGCCATGAGTTCAAAGCCTGCCTGAGCTCCACAGTAAATTCAAGACCAGCCTGGATGACATAGCAAGACCCTGGCTAAAAAAAGAGACTGATTGATTGGTTGATTGAATGATTGATTGATTGACAGACAGACAGACAGACAGACAGATTAGTTTTACAGTTGGTTCAGGTCCAAATGTAACAAAGGACAATTACTTAATAGGTTTTATGGTACATATAGTGCCAAATGACTATTTTACTCAAATATACGCACAATTTATACACAATTAAGGAAAGTACAACATTCTCAGATGCTAATAAATATACCAATTTTAAAGCACTGTTTATCATATAAATTTGTTTTGTTTAAAGTGTGATACCTTGCCCAGCACTGAAGATATTGTCTAAATTAGCAAGGGCTGCATATTTGTCTGTTGTCTGTAATCCAGGTTTGTTTGTTGAAACTTTACTAACAGCTGATGCTGTCTGATGACTCTGGGAAGTATTGAAGGTTCCAAAATCAGCACTGGAGGATTTGGGGAAGTTATCAAAATGAGCAAAATTAGCATTTACTGATCCAGCACTTCCACCTGTAACAGAATAAACAGAACACTTGAAATTCATGGACTTTTCCCAATACTCTTTGGAAAACTACTGATCACTTCTTCCTAAATTAAGTATTTATAATCATTATAGAATATATATTTACATATGACTTGATAGTCTGTACTTCTGAAAAATCAATGACTGGTAAATGGTACTCAACTTTAATCATCTAAATGTGACTTTATAATCTGTTAAACTAGACCAATAAAAAATAACATCTAGCTTGAGACAAAGAATGTAACAGGAAAGTAGGGGGCTGACTCTATGATATAAACTTGTTGAAATTCACTTATCCATAAAACAATCCACCTATTCACTATGCTCTTCACTAGTTCTCAAAACACTACGAACAAGATGCAAACTCTCTTACCTGGAAGATTCAAATACTTAAACACACAGTTTAAACAAATAAATCCCAGTAGTTAGGATTAATAATGGTTAAGATGTATTATTTTAATCAAGAAGTTTTTTTAAATTTAAGAATGCTTAAAAGATGGTCCTTGCATTTTAGATTTATTTCACTTGAAAAGCTGTTACTTAATTCCACATAGTATTTTATATGCATTGAATATGTTTACAGTAAAATCATAACCTATCATACAGCTCAACATAACTATACAGTATAAATTACAATTTTTGACAATAAAGGACAGTTAATATAACAGTCTCTATGGTACATATCCTGCTAAAACTTTTAAAGCATGTCTAGAGACTCCTAAAACACTAATAGAACTCATGTCAGTAAATTTCTTTACACACTTTTCATACTTCACGTTAGATACACTGGTTTCTTATTCTTAAACCATACTTTCAGCATCAAAACTTGTGTGTATGTTTCTTTGCATATACTATATGCAGCAAAATACACTTAGGAGTATTTATAAACAGAATGAAGACAGTCCTCTGCAAAAAAAAAAAAAAAAACCAACACCTTCATCAGTCAGCCCTTTAGACATTTTAAATCAAACAGAGACAAAATTTTTAGGAATTGAACTGTCTCAGTTAAAATCTATAAAACACACAACACAAAACATCCAAAGCAGTAAAGATGCCTACACAACAACAGAACTTACTGTGGGTAGCCTGGAGAGGAAAAGCTGAAGTAAATTCACCAAAACTGCAGCTAGATGAAAGTATTCTAAATGCTGGACAGCCAGAAATTATGTTAAGTGATGAAAGTTAAAGAAAAAAAAAAAAAAAAGAAATTGAAAGCAAGGCTTTGAGACAATACATATACCGAGTTAAAAGTTGAAGGGGCGGGGAAGAGCAATCAGCCAATGATCTAAACAAGGGTTCAAAGAATTTCTGAAAACAGCATGTATAATTTGTGAGAGAATTCAATGTATAAAAACCAATTCCTGCACACAAAACTATTTCCACAATTGATTAAAACGATGATTAATAATTTACTGTTGATTAGATACTTAGAAATTTTTTCAAGCTATTATCCTTAAATTATTTCAATTTTTAGTTATTGGAAACAGCTAATTATCTAATTATTTTCCCTAATTCAAAGACCTAACAGCTTCAAATCAGTATGTTCCATGAATCTAAAACATATTTAGTACATGTCTTTGTGCAAATAAGATTTAAAAAGATTCATGTACAGGAAAAGGAGAAGAATGGATATTGTAAGTTAGACAGTATACCAGAGTTCAAAAAAACAAATGAATATAGGGTAAAAAAATTATTTTCATATATATATACACATATATATATATGAATGACTTTACATTATTTAAAAATAAATTCAGGTTTCCCCAGAGCTTTGTAAGGACAGAACCACTTTAACATCAAGTAATTACATAATTTAAATTTAATTTTCCAAAGCTACATCTACAGAATTTATATCTTAAAATAAACACTTAAGCAGAATGCTGGAGAAGTTCTACCTGTAGTTTGGGGCTGAAAAGGAGAGTGACTTGCTGTGGGGAAACCTCCAAAATTACTCGAACCACTAGACTGTCCAAATGCATCAAAGTTTGCAAAATCTGCATTTGCAGAATTCTGAGCTGTAAATGGTAAGGAACAACAGATGTTAATGAATATGAAAACTATAAATGAAAATACATGACAAATGAATTTAAGACTTATGAAAACTTGATGTATCACAATTCATTTTAAAGAGTTCATGTAGACACCAATTTTTAAATATATTACAAGTCTTTAACACAATTACATTTACAAAGGCTATCCAGAAAATTCCCCAAACATACTTTTTGAAATGATAAATTTGTACACAACTCTTTAATGCCCTAAGGAGCAGTACTAAAAAGTGACTACACTAACACTGTGAAATTGAACTGAGAGCAGTGAATACATGATGTACAGCCCAAACACATGGGATACGTTATAGGAAAAATCACAGATTTAAACTGATACGACATTAGGTCAAGCTTAAGAGTAACCTACATCTAAAATACATTTTTTTAAAAGAGTTAACAAATATGGACACACGAAAACGAAAACAATGCATAAGCATATGATTGTACAGCCACATTCTTCTAGAAGCCATTTTAAACTTATGCTAACAATTTAAGAAATAATGAAAGCCAGCAGCAATTAAAACATTGACTAAAAAAGAAAAAAAAAAGATCTAGACATATTTTGCAACTGGTGCAACATTCCTAAGTGCAAAATTCTAGACTTCTGTAAATTTTAAATATGTTTTTAAACACCAGAAATTTTTACTGAAGGGCAAAATAGATGCCAGATAAGAGTTTATGAGAGGATATGATGCAAGGGTAGGGTAGATAGGAAAAAGACGGAGAAAGGCTAGATGTTGTAAATACAGTAAACCCTTTGCAGGCAATTCTAGTTTAAGTATCTGTAAAGAAATTATTTTGTAAATAAGGTCATATCTAAAAAACTGACAGTATTTTTTTTATAAGAGTAAGACTGTCAGAAACTCAAATGATCATCACTACGGGATCTCTTAAATGCATTTCATATGTAATATGTAATTAAATAAAACATAGCCATTAGAAAACATGTAAAATATTTAGTCCCATGAAAAAATTTTATGCCAACGAAAATAGGTGAATCATTCCAAGTTATTCTTTCATCTGCCAACTTTTCTTACACTCAGCATGTATGCTATATACACAGCAAAATCTGCATTTTTAACTAAGTAAGATTTCAAATCACTATTATTTTCTTTTATGTTTGCCTGAGTTTACAGAACTTTTGCAATGAATATGTAACAAAAAGAAAAGCTAAAGAAAATACTGTCACAACAGAGGGAGTGAGGAAAGAGTTATCTATGTAAATGAGTAGTATGATTCGGACAACTGTGCTGCAGATTCCCGCTCATCTAGAGAAAGGAGCAGTTAATCCTTAATTTGTTTAGTCTTGTTTTCAACTCTTTTTCCTTGCCTCTCTTGCTGCTTTTCTTTCTTCTGATTGTGCATGCGCACACCTGGCAAGATGAACGACCACACTGTGCAATTCAACAAATGCTGTGAAATCCACACTGCTTGCATTAGAGAAATTCCGTAACATTTGTAATTCTGCTCTTCCAATACTATTTTGTACTCTTTAAAATACTTTTTAAAAAAATTCTCCCAATAAGTAAACATGATAAGCCCTAATTTGAGAAGAAAATCAGGCCTGCTTAGGCAAGTGTAGGGATGGGGCTTTAATCCCCAGCCACTGCCTTGCTCCTGGCCCCAGGCGTGCTGCGCTGACCACTGAGACCAGGCGCCTGTAAGCCCAGAACTGGTGAGACTGGGACAGGAGGATCACTACGTGTCCAAGCTACGTACTCTGCACCAAATACATTAAAAGAAAAAAGAAGAAAATCAGGAAAACTTAAAAGCATTTTATATGATTACCAGCACATATGTATCTCAATGGGCACAACGGGGAGGGGGCACCTTAAACAGCTCACCTTTTACCAGCAACTGACCATGCCACTTCTCTTCTGAAATGAAGACTGCCGCTAGCAGCTCACACTTCACTTGAAAACTTTTTTCACACTTTCTCCCTCACTCAAACAGTACAAAGAAGTGCCTAAATTAAAAGCTTGCTTATTGCTTAATAATTCTGCATTTTCTGGACACTCTGAAATTTGTTATTTTTTTTTTTTTGTATGATATGGCAAAACCCAATTTCTTTATAGGCTGAAAATTTACTTTTAGAAAACAAAAAATTTTTTAATTAATTTACTGAAAAATATTTTGAAAGAAATATCTACAGAGGATTAAACAATAAATCAATACAAGTTTAAACACTGCTGCCATTTTGTATGGCTGGTAACACCAATAACAAAATGTAGTTTATGTTTTTGGGGGTTTTGGGTTTTTTTTTGTATTTTAGGAAAGGGTCTACAGGATATTCAATACAAAGTACAGTTTAATAAAAAGGAATCTAGGCTAGTAAGACAATTCTATCCTAGCCAGGAGCAGCAGTGTACATCTGTAATTCCAGAACTTGAGAGGCTGAGGCAGGAGGATCACCAGAACTTAAGGCCAGTCTGGGCTATACAATGAGCTGAAAACCCTATTTCCTTTGGCAATAGATCAGAACACTGCCTGAAGAAAGAGCACCACTTTCACATCTCATTATACTACTCATTTGTGTTACATGGGCTGTAAGGTAACTGACATAGATACTCATGGACACTTCAAAAATCAATTATAAAAAAAATCAATTAGAAGTTACAGGTTGTGATCAAATGACTATCACAAAGCAAAACAACTTAAATTCTGTGGGGGAATTATGCTTCAAATCTGCATGTGTTTCTGAAGATCACTTTTTGAACACAATAATGACCTCGCCCACCAATACATATGCACTGTGTCAGCCACCATGTCCGTATGAAAGATAACAATCCCCAGGTTTCCACTATATTATCTGCAAAAAAACCAGTTTCCCTATAATACCATGTTAACCATAATGAAATACCCAAACAATTATCATTTAATAGTCAAGGTACCATCTACATGAAATTATTCAGGGTAAATTTTTTACCTAATGTTACTTTATAAAAACTCAGCCGTCAATGACTTTGTAAACTATATATAACTACATATGAAAGAGCTTGTAAAAACTCTAGAAAATTTTTCAGCTAAGCACTAACATTTTTTTTTTTTTTTTTTGGCCTCAAAAAGTGACATTCAAAGAAAAAAAAAAAGAAAAGAAAAAAATTGACAAGATGTCTATCCCTCAGCTCCCTTCCCTCTGCCCTCCGGCCGCTCCTCAGCTACCCAAGGCTGAACTCTGGTTGGGGCTAGGCAGCAGGACAGCCCTCTCAGATGAGGTCAGCAACACTGAGGGGTATCTCTTCAATGGAGCTGTTGTAGAAAGTCTCAATGTCTCGAAGAGTCCTTTTGTCTTCTGTCACCATGTTAATAGCTACACCATTACAGCCAAAGTGGCCTCCACAACCGATTCTGTGGATGTAGTTTTCCCTGTTTGTCGGAAGATGATAGTTGATGACTAGAGAAACCTGCTGCACATCAACGCCTCTGGCCAGTATGTCAGTGGTAATCAATACTCTGCTGGAGCCAGACCGGAACTCCCTCATGATCACATCTCGTTCCTTTTGGTCCATATCTCCATACATGGCAGAGACAGTGAAGTCTCGGGCATGCATCTTCTCTGTGAGCCAATCAACCTTCCTTCATGTGTTAATGAAGATGACTGCCTGGGTGATGGTCAGGGTCTCATACAAGTCACATAACGTGTCCAGCTTCCATTCCTCTTGTTCCACATTGATGTAGAACAGGCGGATACCCTCCAGGGTCAACTCTTCCTTCTTCACAAGAATCCGAATGGGATCTCTCATGAACTTCTTGGTCACCTCTAGCACATCAGAAGGCATTGTGGCTGACAACAAAACCACCTGGGTGTTACTGTTGAGCTTTTGGAATATGTCATATATCTGGTCCTTGAATCCATGGCTCAACATTTCATCAGCTTCATCTAACATAAACATCTTGATGTATTTGGGAGACAGGTATCTGTGGTTAAGCATATCAAACACGCAGCCAGAGGTTCCCACGATGATATGGGGAGCTTCCATCTGCAGCTTCTGTACCTCAGCGCGCACACTGGTGCCCCCAATACAGGCATGACACGAGGCACCCATGTAATCTCCTAATGCCATGACCACCTTTTGTATCTGCTGAGCCAATTCTTGAGTGGGAGCCAAAACCAAAGCGTGGGTAGCCTTTAGCTCTAACTCAATCTGCTGCAGAATTGATATGGCGAATGTGGCTGTTTTCCCAGTCCCAGACTGGGCTTGAGCAATCACATCATAACCCTTGATACAAGGAAGAATGGCACGCTGCGGGATGGCAGAGGGCTTCTCAAAACCATAGGCACAGATGCCTCAAAGAAGGGACTCAGAGAGGTTCATGTCATCGAAGCTGTCAACAATCTCATTCCAATTACTCTCGATGACGCCTTCAGGCTCCATCCCATCTGGGCCATTGTCTCAGGATCGGGAATCCTGACTCGCAGACATGATCCTTAGAAACTAGTAAACACTAACACTTCTTCACACTTAAAAATCACTCCAAGGCAAAAAAGTCAAAAGATCTATACTAGAAGAAAAAACAAAGTTAACTTAGTAACCTCCTACAAAAGGTACATAGTACACTTTGTTCTCCAGGAATTAAACTAAAAGACAAATAAGGCAATAAAAAATAAAAGAAAAAGAAAGTTACTTGAGTAATCATTTATAAATAAGAACTTCAGACTGAAAAGGACTATAATACTTTTAAAACTAATCTACGTAACTATTAAACACTTATTCCCACTCATCTGACTACTTCCATCTTACATGAGAAGCAGGCTATTAAAACAGTCTAAATAATAACTCCTTTTGTTAAACACCATTATAAGTGAGGTATTAAAAGAATCAACAGTTTCTGGGACAAATTAATCAGTGAAGTTGCAGTAATGTATCTAATTATTCTTTAGCTAACCAAGTTACAAAGAAATATTTAACAATAATCCCTGACATGTGAATACTCAGAAACTGCATACAAGCATAGGAAACATGAAATAAACAAATTTTACAAAGGTGGGTTAACTGCTTTTTCAATAATTTCAAATTATAGTTCAATACACCTAAAGTGAAGATTATAACAAACACATTCAATGCTGACTTTCCCACCAATTCTTTCTTTTTTTTTTCTTTTAACCAACATTCAAATCCAAGAGGTAGGAGCAAAGAGTTGGGGCTCCTGCCTGGTCAGCGAGCCAGCCACCTATCTAAAGATGAAGAGCAAAGAGGCACTTCAGATTTTCTGTGCTTTTAGCCAACAACTTAATATGATTTCTTATCCTTTTAATCATTATCTCATTGTCTCTGTCTCTATCTGTCTCTGTGTCTGTCTGTCTGTCTGTCTGTCTGTCTGTCTCTCTCTCTCTCTCTCTCTCTCTCTCTCTATATATATATATATATATATATATATCCCTTCTAAAGGCAAACACACACATCAAAAACATAAAAACTACAGCTGGGGATATACCTCAGTGGCATAAAGGCCTGCCTGGCAAGCTCAGGGTTCTGAGTTCGATCTCTGGTACCAGAAAAAAAAAAACATAAAAATTGCACCATGACTTCTTTCTAAAGCATGTCTTCAGAAAAATATTTTCTATTAATATTTAAAGTTAAAAGTACCTTTAATGCTTGCTAGAAAGAAATGTGGCTGGCTGGAGAGTAGCTCTGCTATAACTGCTAGGCCATCAAATGGAAAAAAAGAAAATGCAATACTATGTAATCTCACAGGTGAGTAAAACAAGGCAAAATAAAGTACAAATACACATAAATCATTTCTAACAGTAGGCATCTGTACTTAAGAAAGATACAGTCTCAAAATTTTCTTATCTACAATTAAAGTTTGGAAATCAGCTTAAGCAATAACTTATACCCCCATGGTACATAATAAAAGCAAAAGTTCAAATTACCAAATAAAACTATGAAATTACTTAACCAATTCCTGTATTAGTGTCTTACATTTGTTTGAAGTGTATTTAAGCATCTGCAAACTAAGATGGGTACACTTTCTATGACATACACATCATCAGTGTTTACTGGCTTCCAAAACACTCCATTTATATTTTGAATACGTTTCTAGTATAAATGCAATGCAAATAATAGATAATAGATTTAAATTTATTTTTCCTAACAGATTCAGGAATTGTGCATCAAAGTTACCACTACAAAGAGATAATCCAAAATCCTGCACCTCAAACCCTGAGTCACACCAAGAACTGTAACTGATCAATTACCAGTTTACAAGAGAAAAACTTATTAAAGGGGATCACAGTGATGCAATCAAATCGACTCACTTAAACCTTGCAGAAAAAAACAATTCACTTTATCAAATTACAGGGGAGAAAAGAGATGAAGAATTTATAGATTAAGAGAACTAAGAGACAGCTCACAATTGCAATATGTGTGCTTTATTTGAAACCTAATTCAAACTGCCTGTTGTAGGCATGTGTGAAAATGTATGTGCATAAATATACACATAATATGTATAATATATAAACCAAACAATCTGGAGTGGAAGGAAAATTTCAATACCAACTAAAGAATTGTTACCACTATTTATGGAGCAATAATCCTGTGATTTTTTTTTTTTTTAAGTCCTTTTCACAGATGTCCTATTTATGGGCAAACTATTATGTCTCAAATTTGCTTCAAAATGATATGAGTGAAACAATAAATGAAACAAGCTTTGCCATGAGTGATTACTAGTACACAAAGGTTATACTCTCCATTAACCTTTGAATATTTGCCATTTTCCACAGTAAAAGAAAAATGTATACAGTCTTTCCTATTTTTACATGAAAAGGTCACACCAACATGAACATTACATACAATCCCTTCTGTGATTACTAAGTGCCACAGACACACGGCTATATACTACACCTCGACAGCTAAGGAGGACCATAATCCTTAACTAAACATGTGTAATGATACCTAATTTTAAAAAAGAATAAATGTTTCTTGTTGCTTTACACACATCTCAAGGCAAAGCTACTGAGAAAAGACACATACCTGCATGACTGTTGAAATGTGCAAAGTTGGCAAAATTGGCTGTGGCTGCTGAGTGAGGAGCCGGAGCAGCAAAGATGTCTGAGCCAAGATCACTCAAAAGGTCAAACTGCTTCTTTTCCTGCTGCTGCCCTTGGGAGCGACCTACAACTGGGGACTACAAACCACATAACTATGAAGATTTTTCCCATCAGATATACTGAACTTTATGCAGAACTATCTCCAATCACAAGCTTTAAATACATTTTTACATAGTGCAGATTTAACTCTTCATTTCTTCACTCAGACTTTTGTAGGGGAAAAAATTACTCCACATGTCTAGAATGCATTACAAAAAGGGTAGGATTTAATCCACAATACTGGCACCAGTGTATGGGTCAGTGACACAGCAGCTGCTTGGCAAGCACAAGGTCCTTCGTTCAATTCCCAGTACCAAAATACAGCAACAATAATCCACAGTACTATCCTTTGGACCCATTCTTATACAAGGCAGAGATCATAGTGACATATAAAAACAGATCCATTATAGGTCCATCAACTATAACAAAGTAGAAAAGAAGTCTAGTTACAAACTTTTATTTATAAAAGAGTTCAGATTTTTAGAATAAGACGTAATGGAAAGCCACTAAATTTCTGTAATAAATACACCACATCATCAGGCACGTAGGGAAATCTTACTACTTTCTGTTAAAGTACACTGGAGGCTATACTACCCTGAAAGTCACCACGGATTCATGTTTCACGAACTGTAGTTTATATGATATGATAGACTCATCATTAGTAATGTTCCTGTACACACTTACGAAGCTGCATAGAAATCAAAGCAATCATAAAAAGAACAAAATACTGTATACACATTCCTACCACTTACCCAGCAATCTCTTAATGTATGATAAATCATTAGGACATACAGCCACTATTGTTCAAGGTTATATCCCTGTCTTATTTAAAGAACTACCAAAATCCTGGCCCTCAATCTTACTTAAGCACTCCCTGCAAAGACCTCAAGGCTACCCACCTGACTAGGTGTACCCTTATTCAAGTGCAGTGCTGGTGCTGAATCTCCTAAAAGAGACTTCAGGGGCTTGACCTCAGGTGTGCTGCTTGTGCTACTGGCAGAAGACCCTGAAATAGATGCATGCACTGATGCCACGACCTTGGCTTGTTCTGGCGGTACATACCTAAAACATGTAAAAATCAGAACAGAAAATTAGCTCAATTCTAATTTTGTACACAACTATTTCAGTATTAATCTTACTTAAAAACTCAAAATTCACAGTTTAAAACATCTAAATGAAATATTCAAAGACAGATTTAGTAAGACTAAATAGAAAACTTGTTCCAATTATTACAGTTCTTAAAAGATGATAAACACAATATAATGGTTTTCTTATTCAAACTGAAGACCATCAAATAGTTAATACTGTACTGTAAATTTTTGTACTGTAAATATTAAAAATGAAATTACCCTAAGATTATAATATATGGAAAGATGAGAGGCATTTATTCTACCATGATTAACAGCCTAAAATATAGAAGCCTATTACAAACCTAAAAATATGAGCAACTTCATTATAAAATGGACAAAACCAATTCACAAAAAGCATAGATATAACCACTTAATAATGTAATAAAACAGTAATTAAGGTATTATCATCTTTAATCTTTCTGTGAACTCTGCAAATTTTCTGTTGCTATCTACTGAAATGTATGCTATTCCCCAGATGACAATACTTCCAAAAACTTTTCCTTAAGAATCACTTGAACAAGTATACACAGGTAATAGGAATATGTACATGTATATTACCACAGCAATCTTTATAATTTAAAAGCCTGGGGAGCAAAATCAAATATTTAAAATGATTATGCAAAAATCTATATATACTGAAGCCCGGTATAGGAATACACACCGAGGGGGAGGAAGTTATCTTAAGTTTGAGGCCCAACTGGACTACCTTCCAAGATCCTGCCTTAAGCAAACAAAATTAGTATACTACTCAGAGCTACCCTGCTTTGACATGAAAAGATACCCTATGACTTTACAGGTCTTTTCAGGTTCTACCCCAGTCGTGTATACACAGGAGTCATGGAAGGACTAAAGAAACAAAAGAGAGAGAGTTAAGAATACCCAAATGTCAGCAATGCTGCTAGCTAGGTCTGAGATTTTTTGAGTTTTGTAATTCTGAGTTTACCTCTCCCTTTCTGCCCATACTCCCTGTCAAACAGGCGGTAAAGCAGGAAAACAGTGAGTGTTTAAGAGTAACTGTTCCAGAAGGATTTTTTTTTTTTTGCTGGCTCAGGATGCTTTAATAGCAGGCCTGGTAAGGCATGAGGATCTGGGGATCGAACCACAGTACCCTGAGGCTGACTGCTTTGCTTAAGCAGGAACTTAAACAACTGAGCTAATGTGCAGGCCCCAAGAGTAACTGTTCCAGAGACAGAGTTTAAACCACAGTTTTATCACTCAATGGCTACGACACTTGAACAAATTCTACAGCTCTATACGGCATCTCTATGCTTTTTTCTACATCTATAAAATGAGGTAAAGATGCTGTGGACTTTTTAACACATTCATAGTTCTTAGTATACTAAAACTACATACAATTTTGGGTATTATCAAACGATATTAATAAACAAAAGAGACACAACATTTTCCTCCAATAAATGGAAAAAATGACAAGAGTTATGAGAATGAACAGAAGATGTTAGCTTTCTCATAATCTGGCATGCCACTGATGGTATAAATTTCTGAGTACTGCTAAATTTGACTGAAGATAAAATCTGATAGCATTTTATGACTCCATTTAAAGGGACTAAGCATGTCTACAAAGTGATTCAGACAGACAGCCAAAAGAATTTCAAACTATCATAGGATATTCACAGCCACATGGCTGTAAATGTAGTTTCCTACAAGAAGTACTGCTCCTGGCCACAGGGAGATGGCTCAGTAGAATTAGCGCTTCCCTGGCAAGCACAAGGGTCTGAGTTCAATCCCCGGTTCTGGAGAAAAAAAAAAAAAAAGAAGAAGAAGAAGTACTGCTCCCTTCTCTTTTTTAAATAGTGTTGCTATAAATAGTTCAGGCTGGCCTTAAACTATGTGGCCCAGGCTGGCCTCAAACTCAAAGCAATCCTCCTGCCTCAGCCTCCTAAGTGCTGAGATTATAGGTGTATATCACCTTTGAGATAGCATTCATACCATGTTTTTTTAAAAAAAAATTATGTCACTGCTAAAAACATGTTACATATGTGCAAAAGCAGAAGTTAAATATATACAGATACACTCCTTGAAGTTTGTTGTTACTACTATCATATTTCCTAAGAAAGAAAAAAAAAAATATTTGTGGTTTTCAGTTATTTGGATTATAGCTTACATGAGTAATTTATTATTGTCACAGCTTGTGTCTAGTTGTCCCTCCAAAGCCTCATGGAGTCACTGGGTGGACTTCTAGAGTTTGTTATTTATGATCCAATGCTGGGATTATGGGTGTGAGTACTGCTGGGCTGATTGGTGTGTGTGCGACACCCAGCCTGGGGTGGACAGCCTAACACAACATAAGGAAGGGAGAGGCTTGCTCTCAGTCTCCACTGCCCCCACTTCCCCTTTGCTCTTCTGTTTTGCTATTTCCTGCCGCCATGAACTGCTGCCCTCTGCCATCTACCTCTGCCTTGGAGCCAGCTGATGATGGACTGAAACTTCCACAAACTGTGAGCTAAATAAACTTTTCCTGGAGCTGGGGAGATAGCTCAGCTGTCTAAGCACCTGCCTGGCAAGCCCCAGTACCAGGCATGGTGGTGCACACCCATACTCCCAGCAGCGCTGGGGAGGCTGGGACAGGAGGATCACTACAAGTCTGAGCTGCAGAGCAAAACCCTGTACCAAACAAACAAATAAATAAATGGTTTAAAAATAATAAACTTTTCCTTCCTTAATTATGGGTGTCAAGCATTTTGTCCCACAAACAAAAGAAAATTAACTGAGACAACTATTTTTATAAATACGGGAGATTTATAGTTTTAATCATGTTATCATTAATATAGTCTCACTTTCCCTTACTATTTATATTCACTTTTCTCACCATAGCTACAGCTACCCATCTAAGACCCTAGCTAATTCCTAGCAAAACTCATTTTCTAAGCAAAGTAGCCCAGTTGAGACAACCAAAAACTATGTTAGAGCTATGGAAAGTGAACAATCTTACCTGTAAGATGAAGAAGGGTCTAATGAATTAAGAACTACAATGATAAAATACTTTTCAAGCTAAAAGCTCATTCCTGCCATTGTATTTTTTATTATCATTCACATTCTAGTCATTTCTTCTTTCTTGAACTAAGATTGTACTGGTACATTTCTACCTGTATTTCTACCCATGCATCTAGTTCAAGTGCATGTAGTCCAAGTGAAGAACAAAAATTCCAACAGCGCCCAGAGGTTAGAGCTACTGTGCTTGCTGAATTAGAGTACAGGCCCCTGCCTCATAAGACACAGCAAGTGGTCCCTCAGGACCAAAACCCCTCTGAGTACATCACATCCTGGGTTAGCAAGTTCTTTGGAGAAGTGAGTAGGACTTAATTTCCCTATATCTATTCCTTTTATCCTTGACTCTCTTCCCAGTCTTAAACTCCTAAGAAAGAAACATACCAGTGACAGCATTAAACAAACAAAAGAAATTCATAGTTAATAAATTTTAATCAACTGTACTTCAATTGTGCCAAGAGGTAAAAAACTGACAAGCCCTCAGGAGTTAAGCACTACTCCCACAGATATAGTTCATGCTCTGCAATAAGGGACATACTACCTTTACATAAATCTGCACAGAATTCTTTTTTAATACATAAAATTTAGGGTAGACCTGATAGCTCAGCGGACTAAAGTACCTGCTTAGGGAGAACGCAGCGGCTAGGGTTCAATCCCCGGCCTACTGTGCCAGCCCTGCCCCCAGGGCACACTGAGAGGGCGACTGAGACTGGGCACAGTGGCGCACACACCTATAATCCCAGCACTTGGGAGGCTGAAAACAGGAGAATCACTATGAGTTTGATCTATGGAGTGAGACCCTGTTCTACATACAGGAAAGGCAAGAAAAGGAAAATAAAACATAAAATCTGGCGAATTTATATTTTATTTTTTATTCATTTTAATGAGAAAAAAGATAAAATAGCAATTAAACAGTTTCAAAACTGGTTAGTAGGATGGTTACAATAATTACTACATTGCATATTGTTCTTCATAGTAGTTATTCAGAGGACAAGATGCAGACATGCTATCTTATCTAAACAAATTAATATAAACTTTTCTTCTCAATGAACTAAGGTGTATACTTTTTTTTCACAAAACGGTTCTTTATTTACACTGTTGTGAAGTTAACACATGACACTAGGTTGCCTAGTGACTAATAGCCGACCTTAACCAGACAGGATGTTCATATCAGAAGTGAAGTAGCTTGTTTGCTAGTTCCACCTACACATATTTGATTGTTTCCGGTGGATTTAGTTAGGGGAGTATAAATACTCCCTTCTTAACCAGGAGTAAACTGACACTTAGGTGGGACATAAAAAGACAAGTATATTTTAGCAAAGATGATAAAAGATGCTATCATACGGAATGAGCTTTGGAACAATGCCTAGTATACAGAAGATACTACTCAAATACTTGCCAAAGGGACAGACTAAGAAAGGAGGCATTATAGGACTAAATATGTCTAGAGAGGCTAACAGAATTAGAAACATCTTTAATTTCCAAAAGGGTAGGAGTCCTGGTAACTGAACAGCCTACTCCTAGGTACAGATGCATAGATGAGTTAAGATACAGTGGAAATTAAGGTTTTTGGAAAACAAATCCAAAAAAAAGTCAAAGGATAATGTGACTCTACAGACTTACCTAACTTCTTTCCTGCCTGCCTATCTTCTTTACCTTCACTGTGTCACAGAGTGGTTTGAGGGGGCTTTACTGCAAACAGAAACTATTCACTCACCATCTTTTCTTTTCATATTTTTCTTGTAGAAACTCTTTCACTTTTTGTGGGTCCCTGAAGTCTGGAATTGCTGAAGATCTATCATCAAATAATCCTAGCCAAATCTGTTTACAAACCTTTGGAAAGAATCAAAAGAAGAAACCAAAAAAGTGTTAAATTCAACATCTTCACTTAAGATTTTAAGGGGAAATTATCATTCATTCAGAAACCAAGCCTACTTAGTAATTTTAATATTACTTTCAATGACAATATTCATTATAAACAGAAATTAATGAACTAAGTTGATTTTAATATACTGCAGTATACAGTAAAATTTTAGCAAAACAATCATGTACAAGAGCACTTAGAAGACAGGTAGTGAATCAAGATTTGAGAGAATCTGGAGACTTCTGGTCTTGAGATGATCATTACCTGCAACCATAAACAGTTATATAATCTTTATGAACTTCAGTTCTCTTACCCACAAGAAAGAAATTTCATCAGCAACAATTTTATGGGCCCTTTCACACTCCCAAAGAACAAATTCTGGAAACAAAAGTAACTCACCACTCAAGAATAACCATAATAAAAGGTTATAAAGACACAAAGATTATAAAAAAGAACTATGAAGAAAAACGTAAGTGGACTTCATCAAAATTAACTGCTTTTCAAAATAATGTGCAAAGGCAAGACAAGTGATAAAGTATACGCAAAATGTATAAGAACGTTAAAAAAAGAACTTGAAACCAGATTGAAAGAAAAAGAAACCTCCTACAACTCCATTATTTCCAAGGAGATTTATACATGGCAAATAAACCCTAACATAATGTCATATAGAAAATAAAAATTCAAATGGCACCAAAACTCACCCACAATACAGATACCCACAGATAATATACCTATAGACTAAACCATAAGAAAAGTTTTTTAAAAGTACAGCATGTGTCAGTAGGAACATGAGAGAGGATTGCGGCCAGGGAGATGGCTCAGTAGAACAAGCACTTTCTTGCAAGCACAAGGGCCTGAGTTCAATCCCCAGTTCCACAAAAAAAAAAAAAAAGAGAGAGAGAGAGAGAGGAGAGAGAAGCTAGAAAGGCAGGTAGGAGAGAAGAGAGGGAGAGAAAGACAAAGAAAGCTAAGACTGTATGAATACAAGTCCCATAAAGTGGTTTTCAAAAATGATTCAACAATTACCTAGATTGGCACCATCAGGGCCACCTAAGAACTTGCTGGAAATGCAAATTATCTGGAGCCACCCAAGACCTAAGAAATTAATACCTTTTTAGTGATGCCCAGATAATTCTGCAGTAGCTGAAGTTTGGTAAACAGTACTTCAGTAGTATCTAGGCCAGTGGATAGAAACTTCCTTCCTTCATTTCTATCTTTCCTAATCTCTGTATAGATGGATAAATTCAAAACAAAAATTTTAACATACATTCCTCAAATTTAGTAAAGATTCCCTTCAGAGGACCTATTCCACAACCCACAGAGAAAATCATTTTTATGGTATCCTGTGTCCTACTCTCACATTTTGGTTCCTGAAAAATTTGATTTCTGCTTGTATTATTCTCTTTCAAGCTTGTAGATTTGCCGATGAGAGATTTAAGTCTCTTTTCTGTGTTTTAATTCAGTAAAATAAACATGATCAGCTGAAGAAATTTTTCAAAAAAAATTTTTAATGTATTCAGGACAGGGTCTACAGGGTCTCACTATGTAGATCAGACTCATAGTGATTCTGTTTTCAGCCTCCCTAGTGCTGGGATTACAGGCGCGCACCACCATGCCTGTCTCAATCGCCATCTCAGCGTGCCCCGGGAGCAGGGCCGGCACAGCACACCGGTATCAAACCCTGGCCAATGCACTCTATCTAAGCAGGTCAAAGTTTTGAGGAGAGGAGGTGAAGAGACTAAAGAAAGCACAGATGGAATTAAGGACTTGTGATCATGAATATTTACCATGAAACAGCCTCATCTGGCTATGTAGGCACAAAGTAGATAGAACGATGACGGGGGGGGGGGGGTTGTTTGCTTTTGCAGTACCAGGGATCAAACTAGGGACCTTGTGCTTGCCAGGGAGGTGCTGATACTGCTGAGCTATCTCCCCAGCCCAGAATGATGGTTCTAAAAAAACAGAATGTTGGGAGCCTCAGAAGCTAGAGAACTGATCCAATGTGTGTAGGTGGGACTAAGCCTCAGTGCCTAAAGCAAACAAGCTACCTCAGTTCTGAGATAAATATCCTGTCTGGTTAAGGTCAGCACTTAGTTGCTAGATAACCTTGTATCATGTGTTACTAACCTTGCAAAGGTATAAATAAAAATTGGTTTTGTTGGGGGCTGGAGAGATAGCTCAGTAGAATATGCGCTTCCCTGGCAAGTGCAAGGACCTGAGTTCAATCCCCGGTTCCACACACACACAAAAAAAAATTGGTTTTGTGGGGTTGTGTTCGTCTTGCCTACCAGACAGACCAGCAACCATCTAGCCCAGCTTTTGTCTTGTCTTTTTCTCATTCCTGTAGCCGTTTCTGACCAACTAGAACCAATCTGACTGAGACCAATGGATCCTTACACTTGGCACCCGAACAGGATGCCCAGTACCAGAGCTTAAAGTAAAAGGGGTGACTACAGATCATGAAATTTAAACTAGACTAAGAAAAATGAAGAAAATGAGCATTAGCAAAATGGAGGACTTGATTATACAAAAGTTACTGGAAATAGGCTTTGGAGTAAATGAGTTAGGAAGAGAAGATCGGTGGGAGTCAGAGCACAAAATAAATGAAATCTGAGAGGTGATGTAGTTATCAACAAAAAGTCTAAAATGAAGTGAAGAATCATTAGTGATAAGTTAAAGACTCAGGAGGCTATGTGAACAATCCATATGGATTTTAGTTAGGATTGTCAAGAAATGATTAGTGCAGAAAAAAGATTATGTAAAGTGTTAAAATCTAAAATGAGAAGGGAAACTGGTTTGACTTATCAATAAGACAGAGCAGGTGACAGAATCTACTGACATGAGGAATATGAGGACAAGAGACTAAAAGCAACATAGGGAGAAATAACGATCCCTAAATGCCATCACTTGCACAGGCAGAACACTTAACAGGATTAGTTTTGATGACCTTTTTCAGAGAAAAGGATTATCAGTTCTAATTACAGTACAGTGTGGTTGGGGTAGCTGCCAGTCTGGACTAGGGAATCACACTTCTATGTCTGTTCACTATCTGACATGTCTTTAAGTGTGAAATGCAAAAAGTATCAGAACTTACTTCACAGGGGTATTAGCATGTTAAGTGGGTTTATACATGTTTTGTCCTGGAACAGGCGTATACACAAAGCTTTAAATAGTATTAGTTACTTACTCTGTAGCCTGATCTCTTAAGAGGTCTGTAGTGGTGGGTTAGGATGCACTGAGATAAGCAAGGGTTTGGAAGGGGAGGTCTTGCTAAGAACAAAGGAAACCAGGTCTCTCCCCTGCTGCAGACAAAACCCAAGCGATCTTCAAGAATCACCTCCTTTCTATACACTGCTTTGTACTTCTCATTACAAGGTGGCTCACTTTAGAACCTTATGTTCTCATTTAATACTTCTGAATTATCTGTAATGCTAAAATTAATACATTGGTAACACTGTATTCAAAACCCTTTTGGACAAATATGAAATTGTCAGAGTAATTATTTTTTCCTTATTCTAGTGCTAAGCCATTTTAAAAGTAAAACCACAGCAGTCAGTGACAGAATTAAAATATTTTTGGGCCAGGGAGATAACTCAGTAGAATAAGCACTTGCCTGACAATCACAAAGTCCGGAATTCAATTCCCCGTACCGCAAAAAAAAAAATTAAATTAAATTAAATATTTTTAAAGTATTGTATATGTGTTCAGGGTTACTTTAGGAAACAAATAGCAAACTCAATTTGAGTAATTTGAAGAGTTTAATCAAAATTCTGTTACAAAGCATAGGTGTGCTAAAAGAAAAATATCTAGAAATGAGACTATTCTTCCAGGATTAGTAACAGCAGGATTTCCCACCATCCACTGACAGTAAAAGGGTGAGGTTGGGGGTTGGGGAGAATGCATCACTATGAAATTAAAACAAAGAGGGCTGGCCGAAAGCTATAACATTAAAGAAAGAATGCATCTGGCTTGCAGAAATATCACAGGGAAGAAGTCAAGAAAATAAATACCTAAATTCTCCCTTTCCATCCTTTATCTACTCACAAGGTTCCCCAGCAGCTAAAAACCCAACCAGAAGCTGAGAGTCATCTTACACACAGACAGGCTAGCGAGCTACAGTCAGAAAAAAGTAAAAAGAGTTAGAAGGGTAGAGGTAAAAACTAACAAGCACACATGCAAGTCACGATAATACATATATATAGGGAAAGCAATTTAACAAACTCAACTATGAGCACCAAAAATAGGACACGTTCATAGCAATTCCCAATTACTTTTATATAAAAGAATGTCTTATCAAGCTTGAGAAAGGAAACAAAGTACATTCATAAATTAAGGACAAAAAGAGTGGAAACTTGGTGAAATAGATATGCATCTTTATTCACACAAGGCCTTATTTTCATAAAAAGGCTAGAAAGTAAATAATGCCATATGGTTCGGCTATAACTTCTACATATAAAGATATAAGAATAAAGACAGGAAAGAAAAATGCTGTGGAATCAGAGACTTCATTAAGCCAATTTATTTACATTCAATTAAATTTCAGGCTTACTGTTTTGTCCTTTCTCTACTTAGGAAAGCTGTAATGTAACAGTTCTACCTCCTTCTGTAAATAAGATATATACTGTCCACAAAGTACAGGAATAAATAACAGAAGAGAGCCGGCAAGATAGCTCAGTGGTCTAAAGCGCCTGCTTAGGCAAGCTTAAGCAGGCGCAGGGAAGCACAGTTCAATCTCCGACACCACATGCCATGCCAGCCCTGCCCTCAGGGTGGGCTGAACCGGCCAAAAAAAAAAAAAATGAGGGTTCAAAAAACAGGAGTTAAGAAACGAAAATCTCATGAGTAAATATCCAGTTTTTGCAAAAAGAAATAAAACCTAAACAGAAATAAGTATCAGCAAACAGGAAATATTATTAGAAGGCCTCCAGATAGTTGCCATGCACCTATAAAAAATGCTATCACCAAATTT